GCGAGAATTGTGCAGGGAAAACTTTCCACGAAAATGTACAGAGCGAGAAAGAGAACGAAGTGGCCACAAATTGGGATTCTCACACCAACAACTAACTGCGAGCTTTGAGAAGTACTAATTAAAATTTACCTCAACAATAAAAGCAGAGGTTCAACACAAGGCAAAATTTATTTGAGACACAAAAAGGGCAAGCTGTGGGGCCTCTACGAGGCGAGCGCCTCACCACGCTCTTGGAGTGAACGGATACAGAAGACGCGATTGGTACAAACCAAATAACATACATACATTTATTTAAGTAATTTATAACGACGATATTATCGGCCGAATTGATACATAACTCATAATGTAATACGCTAGGACATCGTTACACAATAACACGACAAACACACTAACACACCCAAGGCGGCGTCGCCAACGCTTGACTTAGCACGAGGGCTCCCGACGAGCAGGCACGCGGTGCCCCTCGTCGAGGACCCACGCTAGAGATAACTAACTGTTTGCGACAGCCGCCACGCGCAGAAGTGGCTCACTCAGCTCTCGCCCACCACCATGGTTGCTTCTCGCTAGGGGTCACCACCGGCGCTACCACTGTCACAACCATAATAATGATGACAGTGGTAATCAACGCCACCTACCACCCAGTAGTTGTAACTTGAAATGCGGCTTTTGGGCAAGACACGTTTGCCACACGGCGCAAACAACTTTACAGGGGGTGTCAGCGCCCCCACAAAGCGAATAGTTGAGAATTAGAATACCCCTTGTGTTCGTCACTCAACCGGAGCCCGCAAAAGGTAAGCGTAGGGTGTTAGTATTGGGCTGATGACTATTTAACAGAATTGTCCGCAGTTTCCTTCTCAAGCAATAAGGTTTACCATCAATCCCAGTCACACGGCAGGCCCAACGCTTCTTGGTGGCTTTCAGCTGCCGTCACCAGTAGCGAACGCAAAACTTGTCCACTCCAAAGGGCCTACCGGTGGCCTTGTTGCCATATTTTAGTGCATGATCAATCACTTTCAACTTTAAAGCAGCCCTGTTGCTTCAGTATCGCCCCATAACGTGACAAGATTGCCGACACAACATACAAAACAGGCCGCAACGCGCACTTGCCGCTTTGGCTTGGCTCGTTTGGATTGAATCTCCGTGCAATAATAGTACGCTTGATGCTTAAGAGATGGTGACAGACGGCGCACGCTATCCTCATCAACGACTGGAACAAGCAGACCACATTATAGTGGCAATTTCTGAGGGTGCGATAATTACTCGAGGAAAGAAAAATCGTATTTTTGTTGGGCAATGTGGGGAGTGCGAGAATTATGGGAGTGCAAGGATTATGCGAGTAAATACGGTACTCAAAGAATGTAAATTACCTTCAAATTACCTTTGAGTATTGTTGCATTTGTGCAACAATACTCAAATTTATTTCGACCCAGCATCAGAGATATGGTAGTGGAGGGCTCTGAAAATTTCGACCACCTGGGGTTCTTTTATGTGCACCGAAATCTGAGCACAAGGGCCTATAGCATTTCTGCCTCAGTCGAAAATGCAGCCGGGATTCGATCCCACGAGCTGCAGGTCAGCAGCGGAGTACATCAGTCTCTAAACCACTGCGGTGAGGCAAGTGAAGATTGGATGAAGCGCCCCACCCATTGAAGTTGTGATAACTTTATATTCAATATTTTATTTTCCATCTCATCCACTCACATATCAAAGGTCTCGGCACAAGCTCAGTCTTCACTAATACTATAATTTACCACTTTATTTCGACCATCTCCACTGACAAACGGTAGGATTTGCATATCACAAGCTGAGATCATGCAAGCCCATCAGCCAGCAACTTTCATGAGCAGTAAATGTGCCAATCTCCACTTTGAGTTAAGAGAAACATCAAAAAGATTTGACAACTCCTTTAATGAGCAGCACAACAGTTCTAATAGCACATAATAAATAGTGTTTGATGTACAGAAAGGTAAGGGGAGACTTTCAGGCTTTTTTTTCTCTCCTGCGTTAGGTGGATGGCTCCACATAAAATGACAACAGGCACAAGAGGTTCCTTTTGTCAACAAGCTCAGGTACACTTGCACTGTTGGTTCTACAAGGTAATGTTCAAAGACAAGGGCTGCGGAGTATGCCTTTGTCGGCACCGCTTGGCAGTCCCCTGCCGAAGGCCAGGTCTTTTTTCACAGCTCGCATACATTTACATTTGCTTTTCTTCTAGAGAAGATGAACTACCACTTCAAACGCAGAACTAATGGTTCGCCAGTGCTTGGAGTTACCCCCAGAGGAATGAAAGAGCAATTCTTTAGAATTCTGGCACTCTTGTCCGAGCGCAACAGTGCCACTCTCAGAAATGGCAAGGAAGTATTTGTGCATTCCAGTCACATCAGTACCTGCAGAACCTATGTTCTCCCCTGCCGGACAGATCATTTCAGAAAGAAAGAGCAGGCGAAATGAAGCAAAGGTTTACATGCTTGGGCTCCTTCACCAAAATGCTTGGCTTATAAATGGTAATGAAATGGAATAGTTCAGCGGTAGTGACAGGGAAGCCATTCATGTCATGGAACTGTAAGACCTAGAATTTATTATATGTCTTGTGGTCTAATTTAGACCTAGAATTTGTGTTGGGTTTTGTGGTCGTAATCCGACGCCACGACCCAACCACAGCTCACGACAACGAACCAGCGACCTCGACATACTATTCGACGGCCACCACATCACTGATCTAGTCGACACTGCAGCCGACTATTTTGTCGTGAGTGGGTCTTTCGGGACGAAGTTGAAAGTGAAGACTGCATGGCAAGGCCCCGAAATCCCGACAGCTGGACGTCGTTTAATAATGCTGATAGGAGTACAGCTGAAGTCACCATCAATAACCAGACTTATTCTGGGAGCTTTGTGAACCCACAACATTGCTCCAGGGATGCGATACTTAGGATGGACTTCCTAAGTCAACAGGGTACTGTCATCAACCTGAGGTCAGAGTCAATGACACAAAGCTCACAAAACACGCTGCCGACCCCCATTATGCCAAGGAATCACGCATTGATTGCGCTGTAGATGAACTCACCATCCCGCCTTGCTCAAGCATCATCGTTTCTGTCAGCACTAAAACACCCACAGATTTTGAAGGTGTCATTGAAAGCCACAAGCACCTGTTTCTTAGCTGTCAGATTTGCGTTGCAAAAGGCATCGCCGCACTGAGTCATGAGAAAGTGAAGGTAATGACGACAAACTTCAGCCGTGACCGGGAATACAGATACATCAATATTGGTACGAGTGTGGTCTACATGGAAGAATGCATTGACACCAGCAATTCTTTGGCCCTCTCTGATATATCCAAACCTGGCTCGACGAATTCTCGTTTCCATCTCAATTCGACATCAACCGAAGCTTTCCGAAGCACAAGCAAGACCAGTCCAAAACTATGCAATTCCTGCAATTCATAGACCGCTCGTTGTCGTCAACAATGCGACAGACCCCGGTTCTCGAAACATAGTATCATAACAGAAGAAAGCACCCGACCAATTCGCCACAAGTCTATCAGTGCCAGTGTGTATTGCTGTAACCTGGCTTTCCATTTACCGGCCACAAGTCCGGCCAAAAAAATTTTATTTTGGACAAGTTGTCTCTGCCTTCATCAGTATCGCGACCCCGAGACAGTATTGAAGGGCGTAATTTGTCCTTATTAGCTTGCAGCTCACTCAGGCTCACAGACAAAGAGGAGAGACACATGGAGACAAGCGCTTCTTCTCCTCGTCCGTGTCTCTGAGTGCGCTGTGAGCTATTATGGATCTTCACCAGCTAACCTGGTGCCTTGTCACGTTATTTATCACCAGCTTTTAAATTGCAACTGATAAATGAAAATTCAATAGTGTCGTGAACATCTTGCTAATAATAATACTGAGTTAGTGACACTTTATTTAACGACACTGGAGCTCAAAGAGCCCCTAAACTATCCAGCGGTCGAAATTTAGTTGAGGTTAGAAAGTTGTTCTCGAGTTTACATCAAACACGTGGCCGTGAGAACTTTTCGAAACAGTCCCATAATAGCCGAGTTACATGCGTTTGATTATTGAAATGTGACGATCGCTTCTTTCCATCTTTCCTACGTTACGCTTTTCCAAAACCGCATGGCCCCTCCTCACTCAGTCAGCTGAGTGCCCCTCCTCATCTCACGTGGTATACATCATCGCTGATGCGCTGTTCGAGACAGCGTCTACTTCCAGTTGCCGCAATCCGCCACTGTGACGCCCCAGCTCAAAACACAAAAGTGTGTTTTGTGTGTCATCTGGGTGCACTGGTCGTTTACTAACCGCTGTTGCTGTCGTGCTAGCTCGTGCCACTACGCTAACGACTAGGCAGTTGCGTTACAGGCCGCAGATGTCAATTCGCAAGCGGCAAGATGACCAAGAACAGCAAGGTGCGTGCGAACAACTGTTTGCAGTCTGACTGGAAGTCGTCGGTTGTCGTTCAGCCAATCACAAGCATTGAAATTGGTAACGCCATCAAGTTTCACTGGTGATGTCACACATGTCACTGGCGGGAACGGCAAAGACTGGAAAGGAGAAATTGTGGCGCGCTTGCTACCTGTAGCGCTGTGGCGTGTGGCATCGTTGATCGTGACGGCATTCTGCACGTGATGCGCTTGTTTACTTGAAATGTTTGGGAAAATATCGGAGAAGGTTTAGGGGCCTTTTAAGGAAAAGAAAAAAAAGTTTTCCTCCTGTGACAAGTAGAGTCTACAGTCCCGTGAAATCTCAGGCTACATACGCCTTTGTAATTCGATGAATAAAAAAAAAAGAAAAATGTCCCTCGCTTTCCTGGTACTTGAAGATTTTCTTGTCGATCCTTGTTGTTGAAAAAAAAAAATATCAGAAAGATAATCGGTTTTTTCAATATGCCCCATTATATTGTAGCACTGAATAAAAACAGGACATATATGTTTTGTTAATATTTGGCATTGCTGTGGACAGCTCGTTGAGGTACCTTGTTTCTTATTGCAGGCGCAGCAGCTGTCCTGGGTGAAAGAAAGCTACCCGTCACTGTTTGAGAGAATTCAGCAGTACGCCAAAAAAGGCCAGTTCATTCCGGTTGGTGGCACATGGGTTGAAATGGACGGCAACCTGCCTAGGTAAGACGCCTTTGTCATTTGAAGGATGTCATCCCTAATTGAAGTTTCCTGCAATGTATATTCACAGATGCGCATCAATTCTGTGTTAGTGGTGGCGTAGTTGTATGGGGCTGCCCGTGTCCGTAACGGCTCTCACGCAAAGTGAAAAAAACCTCACATTCACATAAAAAGCCAATCTCCTGTCTTTTTTTTCGTAGTTTATAAAGGAACACGAACTGTGGCTTCGCATGCCACGCTTCCGTTTCCATTTTCTGTTGTTGAGGAGGACCCCGCAGTTGCATCACGAGGTATCAAATCACATGACCTCACTAGAATTTGGCGACATTGTGTGGTGGCATTGTCAGGCCATGTAAATTTTTTGCGTCACTTGTCCCCGGCACCCCGGGTCTGTTGCCACTGCAGACGGTCAGATTTGCCATCTGGTGAAGCATGCGGGGCCTTAACATTCGAGCCTGTCATGAGGCTGTTTAATGCACTATCGTGTAAGTTAGCAGAAAAAGAATTGATCACGTTGCGTCATCAAGAACACATGAGATCATTTGTACACACACAGACACATACATACACTCTAAATATATTTCTGTTTACAAGATGAATAAATTACGAATTTGTACAAAAGACACTCAACATGCATAAACCAAGCTGATTAACAACTAATACCTAGTTAGCTATGCTAAGTCATACAGAAATGTCAGTTTGCCAGCAACACGCACTGGCGTCAGAAGCAGACCCTGGCGAGTTGGAGTCAACAGCCAGACGCCCTGTCTGCGTCCGCCATTCGAACACAGTGGTTCACGGAGTAGACCATCTTCTTGCCTGGCCAATGTCAAGCGATGAGGAACATGGGCCCCGCCAATGCCAGAGGCTCGAAAGAAGGTTGGGTGCGCGCCCAGGTGGGGGACCACAGCAGCTGTGGCACGGCTACTTCGGCCGCTGCTTGCTTTTGCGCCTCGTAGTCTGCGATGCCACAGCCACGGCTGCCGCTCTCTCGGGGGGGGGGGGGGGGGCGGTCTTCATTGGCCGAGTGTGTGTTTCATGTGCCCACGTGCCGAATATTCACATTGTCATCTTCGACACTAATGAAGCCAGCATTCCTGCCATCGTCCTCCTTGTCCTCCAGTGTGCTCTATCATCACGTTAGCACACTTCTTGAAAACGCGCCCTTCACTCATCTTCGGGCCGTACGCATGATGATGAAGTATTCTGTTGAAGCTACTTGGAAAAGGGACCCTCGTCATGCTGTTCAAACAATCACGTTGTCATGTGTAATATACATATAGCATGGTAGAAGAGTAAAATAAAGAGCTGCCGCATAATCAGGATTGTGTAATTCGTAGCTCGTTTAAAGCTTCCAAGTCACTGGAGCAGGACTCGGCCATAATTCGTCATAAACCACAGCATCAATAGTGAGCCTCTTGCATTTTCGCTTTTCGGGGAGCCCGACGGCGGCCCGAGGACTTGTTTCGAACTGGAAACGATGTCAGGATTTTGCCGCTCGTCACCGTGACGAGAGGCAAAATTATCGAGCAAGCCTCGGGCAGCCTGAGGCTGCTTCTGCAGCATTATCTTCATCGTCACGCTGGCGCAGCCGTGTTTGTGTGGTCTGCTACACCACTGGCCTGTAACCACAGAGGTTTCGGCAGTTGAGACCGTTGTGATGCTGTGTGCTTACGACTCGATTGAAGAGGATGGCGGGCAGCATTACACCATCAGCCTGTTGTTGGCCCGGGTAATGAGGCAAGAACGACACTGTGTTCTGTTGTACGCTGAGCGGGCTGTGCCAGCATATGTGGACCTGAAGTTCACAGAAATGTTTGGATGGTCCAAAAACACATATGTGAATCCTGCAGCAGAAATCAAAAGGTGTACCTTTCATACTCAATGCTCAAATTGGACAAATGAAGCTGAAGAGGCCGTGCTGATCAAACTGAGCTATCCCGGCACCCAAACTACAATGCATAGAATTGTGGACAAAGTTGACGTGAGTGGAGCTCAGCGTGCACATCGCGGTGCGTTGTGCTCGTGGCTATCAATGCCAGAGAGATCAAGAGGCCGGACAGCAATGACATCACATGAAACAAGCATGCATTTCGTGCGCTGTATTAATGCCAAGGGGTGGAAGCCAATACTTGAGATGTCATCAGGGATGTTGACCGCTGTCACATTCTCATATACAGACCATCAGATTTAGAATAAAGCTAGAACCAAGGCAAGCTTTATTGCAGTGAGAGGGCAAGAATTTAACGTAGACAACATAAAACTTGCTCGCATGACAATAAAATGTCTTACTTTTGTTCACATACATGGGACTACTATGGGGTAGTGCAATGTCTTCAATCTTATGGACAGGGCACACTTCGATTTGCATCTCATTAAAAAAATATTTGGTGGTGTTAGGAGATGCTGTCCTAAACATGGTAAGGCTACAACTGAAATGCACGTCTAACAAACGTGAAAGCCGTGAACTGAAAAAGGTCGTCAAATCGAGTGCAGAACTTCTGCTACGAAGAGAAGACGCTCACAAGCAGATGACGCAAAAAAAAAAAGACGCGCAAAAGCGCGTCGTTAATAGGGTGGCTGCTCCAAGCAAGCCCTTGTTCACAATCCTGCTGGCGTCGGCAGGATTTTTCGTTGGGGAGGGGTGTGTAAAGCCATGCTGCGTCGCATCTGGGGGAAGGTGAAAGCACTCATACAGCACCTTGTTGGTACGTGTGGCCTAGGGGAGGTGTGGGGGGGCAGCGCTTTTTATACAGCATCTTTCCCCCTCTGCTGAAGCCCTGTCATTGCTAAGTTTTCACCACTGAAAAAGCTTTATCAATGTGATAAACAATTTTAATAATTCACAATGTAGTAATAATGCACTGAAGAATAATTAACGGTATCTGTATGAACCTTTCAGCAGATAAGAAGTCAGCCAGCTCGCATAAATTGAGCGTCAATCAATGTGGGCCTGTTGGCCTACACTGAACCGTTGGGAAAAAAGCGCTGCTCTTGTCGCTTCTATGCCCCATGCTGGCATAAACTCTTCCAAAAAATCAGACATAACTCTAGTGTCTACTATGCAACCATCTTTCACTGAAATATTATTTTAAATGGCCACTGTTTGTGTGTTTGGTGAAGGCATCTTCATAATATTTATTTTCACAATATGGAGTGAAAAAGAAAGCTTCTTTAAGCGGGACATTATATAATTTCAAAAGTTTTTCAACATTCTGGTATCATTACAATATAACCTTTGATAAATTGTATTGTCTCATGTTTTGTTTGTACATTGATAGTGAGAGTAGCCTTGTCGATTTGTTCCTTTTGTAACGGGGTTTATTTGCAGAGCAGAACGCAGAAGGCGAAGCAGTCAGCAGCATCCGGCCAAGTGCAGCAAGCACGAGCTCATGTTGATGGCGATGCCGTTGAGACGGATAAAAATGTCGCTGAGGCCCCTCTTCTTCACTACAATCGTCCTCCGCAGAAAAAGGGGCCATCCTAGCGAATTAAGGAGAAGAAAGGACTAATGTGTCATAGTTTGGCTTGAGGCGAGAGACGTAGACAGTGTCGCGGCCGCGGTAGCGTAGGTCTGTGGATGAGATGATGGGCTCCGCAATATAGTTGATGAGTGACGTTTGCTCTACAACGCGGTATGGCCCGAGCTATTAGGGAAGAAGTTTTGCGGAGCGGCCAGGTGCAGTAGCAGGTGCCCGAAGCCATACCAGTGAACCAGGTGGAAAGTTTGAAGCCGAACGGTCCCCAGGCTGGCGGGATTGCTGCTGCCACTGGTCCTCGGTAGAAAAAGAGCGGGCAAGCTGGTGGCATTCGTCAGCATGTCGGGCAGCTTCGGACAGAGTTGTACTTTTGGACTCACCAGGTTTATATGGAAGAATAGTGTCTATTGTATTGGAAGGTTCTCGTCTGTATAGAAGAAAGTATGGCGAAAACCCTGTAGTAGCTTGTACGGCAGTATTATACGCGTAGGTGACGAACGGCAGAACTTGGTCCCAATTTGAATGATCAGAGGCGACGTACATCAACAGCATATTGCCAAAAGTACGATTGAAGTGCTCCATCATGCCATTCGTTTGAGGGTGGTACGCTGTATTTGTGCGGTGCACGATTCGGCATTCGTTGAGTAATGCCTTCAATGCGTCAGAAAGGAAGGCACGGCCTCTATCACTTAAGAGCTAGCGAGGGGCACCATGATGCAGAACGAAACGTCACAACAGAAACGTTCCATTGTCACGGGCTGTGGCAGTCGGCAGCGCGGCTGTTTCGGCATGGCGTGTCAGATGGTCTATCGCAACACTAATTCAGCGATTACCAGCTACAGTTGACGGTAGTGGTCCATAAATGTCAATGCCGATGCGATCAAAAGGTTGACTAGGACAAGGAAGAGGTTGTGACGGGTAGACTTGCCCGGGAGGTAACTTTCGTCGTTGGCACTGAGCACACGGGCGAATAAATTTCCGCACGTAGTTATACATGCCACGCCAATAAAATCTGAGTTGAAGCCTAGCGTATGTTTTGAAGAGGCCTGTGTGGGCGCACTGTGGGTCAGCGTGAAAAGCTTCGCAGATAACAGCTCGAAGATGGCAGGGTATCACAAGGAGACGCGACCGTCGAAAAGGTAGTTGCGTCGATAAAGAAAGTCATCCCTTAGGCAAAAGTTGCTAGCCTGGCAGCGGAGAGCGCGAGACGGCAAAGGAGTGAGAGGATCAGAAAGGACATTATGACGCCACTGATCCAGGGATCCCTTCGTTGTTCTACCGTCATGTTGCGCAAGGCGGATGACGCAAGTGCAGGCTCGAGGGAAGAGATGCAAACACCTTCATCCGATATGGGTGAGCGAGAAAGGGCGTCGGCATCCCTGTGCTTACGACCGGATCTGTAAATAATGCGAATGTCATACTCCTGAAGTTTGAGCACTCAGCGAGTAAGTCGTCCAGAAGGGTCCTTAAGTGTGGATAGCCAACAAAGGGCGTAATGGTCAGTGACGACGTCGAATGTGGGAC